CCGCCGGGCAGCGCGGGGGCGCGCCGCCGCCGGGCGGCAGCGCCGCGGCGGCGTCTGCGATGTCTGCCCTCAACGCGCTCGCCTCAATGTCGGGCCCCCAGGGCGGCTTTGGCGGCCTTGGCGCCATGGGGCTGACGCCCGCGCAGCAGCACCACGCGATGGCCGCCGCCGCCGCAGCCGCGGCCGCCGCCGCCAACATGCAGCAGCAGCAACAGCAGCAGCAGCAGCAGCTGCAGCAGCACCACATGCAGCAGGCGCAGCAGCAGCAGCAACAGCAGGCCGCTGCTCTGCACCAGCAGCACCAGCAGCTCATCGCCGCGACGCAGGGCATGCACCCCGCCGCCGCCGCCGCCCTCATGCAGTCTGCCGTCGCCGCCGCTGCCGCCGCGGCCGCCGCGTCGTCGGCCCAGGCACCGCCCCCGCCGCCGCCGGCCCCGCAGATGGCACCCCAGATGACTCAGGGCGCGCCACCCGGCCAGGGCGGCGGCGCCGCCGCCAACGCGGCGGTGCTCCAGGCGCACGCCGCGCTGATCCAGCACCACCTGGCCGCGCAGCGCGCCGCCGCGGCCGCCGCCGCCGCGGGCCTCACGCCCCAGCAGGTCGCGGCGCTGTCCGCGGGCCTGCAGCCCGGCGGCCCCGGCGCGGGCGCGGGCGTGGGCTCGGGCGCCGGCGGCGCGCAGGGCGGCGCGGCGGCGCTCGGCGGCGGCGCCCCGCAGGCCCCTCCGGGGCTGATGCCTGGTGTCGGGCACGCGCAGTTCCCCGGCATGCTGCCCGTCCACCCTGGCGGCATCCTGCCCCCCGGCCTCGACCTTTCATTCCTGTGAGCAGCCACGCCTAGCCGCCCGCAGCGCTGACGCCGTGATGAACGGCGCCTTGGCCCAGCCGGATTGGGCCCGCCTTGCCGCCGCCGCCGGCGACAAAGCGGGGTACTGTGCAAGAGCGGCTGATTCTGGCTGTGTGTACGTATCTGCGTGTGTATGTGCGTCTGAACGCGAACCGGCGCGAGATTTTGGGGGCGCGATGCCGCTGCTGCCCTGTGGCGATGGCCGCGGGCCGCGGCTGCCCTGCGCCTGAAGATGAGGCCTTTTGTGATCTTTTTGCTGCCCCGCCCGCCGCGCCCCCACGCGGCCGTGGGGGCGACCTGCCAGACACCGCATCACTGTTGCGACCCTTCATTCTGCACCCAGCCCGATTTTGGAGGGCGGAGGGCCCGCTTCCTTTGAGGGGCCCCGCCCGACAGCGTTTGGCCGCCGCCGCCGCCGCGGCTGCTTCGCAGCTGCGTGGGCGGAGCCGGCGGCCGCGACGCTGATCTGGGCTCGCCAAGGTTTTGCCCGTGTGGGCCGCAGTCCAATTGAGAGACACGGGGAGAGGGAGAAACGCGCGGGAGGCCGAGAGCGTGCGTGCGTGCGTGCGGCTGCCGCGGCCGCACACATGCGCGCGCGCACGTGAGCCGGCCAGCCCGTTCTGTCGCCCTGGCGCCGCCGCGCGCCGCGGCTGTGTTCATGCGCCGCTGCGCCGAAGCCCGGCGGGGAGTGAGCGGCCCCCAGGGCCGCCCTTGGCCCTGGCGCCCGGCGCGCCCGCGCCCCCTGCGCCCCTGCGCCCCAGCGCCCGACACTCGTGGTCGGATGGCGCGCCCGGGCCTACGGGGCGCAGGCTTTGCTCCGCCCGAATTTTGTCACCCGAAATTGAAGCGGCATCTTTGAGCTTGGGGCTGCCGCCGTCTTGCACATACATGCGCACACAAGCTGCACTCCCTGCACGCGCCCGTGCAGCAGCGGGCCTGTGCCAGTGCGTGTTGTCCAACCCGGCGCGATTGCCGGGGCCCCTTCAACCCACCCCCGCTGATGAGTCAGCACGCTCTGCAACCGACCCTGCGCTATTCTGGATTGCCAGGCAGTCGGCGGGGGGCCGCGCGCGCCCCCAACGCCGGCTGCGGCTGGGCTTTTCAGGGCGCGCGCGCCCCCGCGCGCGCCAGCTGGCACGCCTTATGACTGGAAAAATATCATATGACTGCGTCGCAGCGCCACCGTTGCCCCTGACAGCTGCCTTCCATCGTGCGCCGCTGGCGGGAACGCCGCCCTTTCAGCAGCCGGGCGCTCGAAAGGCCCGGCACAGCCATCTTCTTGTCCCCTGCGCCCCGCGCGCGTACGCGCATGCGCCTGGCCGCCATCGCACCGGCACACTCCCACCGCCCGCCCCCCACGCGCGCCCCTGAGCCGCCTCAAGACCAGCCGCCAGCCTCGCAACCCGCCTTTGCGGGACGCCACCAGCTGCTCGGCGCACGCGCTCTCGCGCCTCTCGTCATTCGCGCGAGCGTGCGTGCCGGGGCATGGCCCTGGCGCCGATTGGCGCATCATCCCCAGCGCCACACCGCGGCAGCGGCCACGCTTGCGTTACAAGTGCACGGCCTGCATCCTTTTCGAGGTGCGCCGCTGCTGCTGCCGCGGCGGCGGCGTGGGGCGGGGCGGGGCTCGGACGTCCTGTTCTGGGCCCCGGTCTCTGCCCGCCGCACGAGGCTGCGAGCGCACCTCGCACTTGTGACGGTGCGGCGTGGCGCGGCGGCGGGCTTGTGGCAGGCGGCCACATCCCATCAGTCTGCAGCTCTCTTTGAGCGCCTCTTTTGCGTGTGAGGCCCCGCGGGGCCCTCTCTACTCCATATTGCCAGCATGGATGCATGCCGCCGCACCCACTCTTGAAGACAGGCCAATTTTCACCCTATACCCAGACTCCACGCGCAAGCCCCACGGCTCGGCGCCCCGGGGCGCGCGAATGCGCGCCTCCCGGGGGCCGCCTGGGTGCCCGCCTGCGCACGGCTGCCCCTCGCGGCCGGGCGCGGCGGAGAGAACCGGGCGCGCGGGCGCTGGCTTTTCGCGCGAGAGCGCGCCCCTGCCGCACGTGCACGCGGGCGCCGCCGCCGGCAAAGGGGCGTCAATACGCGCAGGGCCTCTGCTCATTCCCCACCAACCCCTTGGTGGGGGCGGGGTTCCCTGCCGCCCCCTGGCGGCGCGTCCGCACACGCGCTGGCGTGCGCGCGGTCCCGCGCGCGCGGCCGCCCTGTGCGCCCGCGCTTTTTGGCTCCAGAGCATTTGACACCGTCTCCCAGATCAGACCGGATCTCATCAGATCTGGTCGCCCCGTTTTCGTCGGCGTGCGCCGCGGCTGTGCGGGGCGGGGGCCGTGCTGACAAGACCGCCGCGGGCCGCGTGCGGGGCGCCGTGCTCCCCGTGGGCCCCGCGGCGGCCGGCCATTTGCCCCATGCCTTTGCCGGCCCCCGCCTCAGCGACAGGCGGCCTCGCCGCGCCGCGCGCAAGCATTCTCGCAAAGAGAGGAGGCCAACCACCCTTTTTACTCTTTCCAGACCCTATTTTCTGAGCCTAATCCAATCGCAGCGCCGCCACGGCACGCGCTCCGAGTTTTGATCTCACATGCAAAAGCAGTGCCCCTGAGAGCGTGCACGCCCGGGCGTCCCAACTGCCCGCGCCGAGCGCCCCTGTCCGCACGCGCCGCGCGCCACCGCAGCGCCGTGCGCCCGCGGGCAGGGGACGCGAGGCCTTATAAAACCACCTCAACACGCCGATTGCCCCTGCCGTATCGTGCCGCGCGTCGGCGACCGCGCCCGCCTGCCGCCGCCCGCGGTACCTGAAACCGTGCGGCGCAAGCGGCGGGCCTTGTTCGCATGCACGCGTGCGCAATGCAAAGCAGCACCCCTCCATGTCAAGTATCCGCTCCGCTCTCGAGACGCGTCCGGCGAGGTGCGGGTTTTTTACAGCGCGCGGCCCGCCCCTGCTGCAACCCGCCCTCATTGCCCGCGCGCTCGTTTTTGGTTCCTGTCCGCTCTGCTTTTTTGGGGCAAGGGGGAGCGGGCCACCGGCTCGCCCGTGCGCTGATTGCCGGCTCGCGGCTGTCGTATCGCCCCATGCGCGAGGGAGGGGCTCATTTTGCTGAGCCTGGCTCGCACGGGCTTGACTCTTTACTGTGGGCGTGTAACATTTTGGCGCGCAACAGCTGGTAATGCGGGCACAGACAGACGGGGATCCGAAAGTGGAGGCAAGGGGAGGCCGCGTGCAAGCAGCAAAGGCCGCAGCAGCAAGTCAAGTGGTGTGCGGCAAGCGGCGACATCACATCAGCAGCAAATTGTCCCGCACGCAAGAATGCGACCATACATATGCGGCGCAAGGCGTGGAGGCAGGGCGGTGAGGGAAACCGCCGCAGCACGCTGCAGCGATGCCGCAAGGGCGTTTGGTTGCTCCAAGCGCGCCCTGCCTTCTCGCTGCGGTTTGCTGCCACGCTGCCATGGGTCTAGTGGGGTGTGAGCCGCATCTCTGCTGCTCAATGGCTCTCGCCGCGGCCCCTTTGTTGGGTTCAGCGGTGGGGGGGTTTTTCCGCTTGCTGGACGCCGCAAGGGGGCAGCTCCGGCGCGAGGATACACTACAAGGTGGGGGCGTGGGGCAGCCAGGCCCGCCAGGCGACGCTTGCGGGACTGGGCGAAGCGGAATGCAATTTCGTACAACCAGAGGTGACATCGTGGCGCTGGTACAGTGGGGAGTGGGCGGGATGCGCCCAGAGGGTGGCCGGCAGGCTGCAGGCGGACACACAAGTGAACGGTCGGGCCTGCAGGGCCGGGCTGCCTGGCAAGGGCCGCCCCCCGCCGCGCCCCAGCTCCGACACAAGGGCGCCGCCGCGAGGGCGCCGAATGCCGGCGGGATCAGGGTTCCCCCCGAGACGCGCTCTCCCCCAGCCACAGCGCGCGGTAGCCGGTGCCGCGGCAGTTTTCGCAGGCGACCTGGCCCTGAGGGGGTTGGGGAGCAGGCGAAGGAGCAGTTTTGGTCACGGGCAGGCCTCGCTGCTGGCATCATCGTTGCGCGCCCAGGCCGCCAGGGCGCTGCAGCGCCCACCACTAGACCGCGTCCGCCGCTTTCCTGCCTGCGACCAGCCCGCCCGCCCTGTGATGTTTTGCGGATCTTGCTCACCGTGCCCTTGCAGACTGGGCAGTGGCTACTGCCATCCGCCGAGCGCAGGAAGGTGTCGCCGGCCATCATGGCGCCTGCGCGCAGCGTCCGCAAGCCGCACACTCAGGGAATTGGCCCAGGAGCGCCGCACAGGCAGCGGATCCGCTTCCGCGGGCCGCGAAAGCAAGCAGGCAGAGTGCATGGGTAGGGGTCGACACGAGGCGTGAGCGCATCCGGAGGCGACCGGCGCTCACCAGTTCCGTGGCACCAGCGGCACTCGCTCTCCCCAGAGCCCTCGCAGCAGCTGCACTTGGCGCGCATGCCGCGGCTCTGCGGGCGGTGCGCGTGAGGGCACGGCGGGGCAGGTTTGTGGCTGCACTCACCCTATCCACACCGACACCAACCGAGAGGCCCGACACAACACGAACCGCCTTACGTCGCCGGCGAGAAGACCTGCCGACGTGCACACAATGCTTGCGAGCGAGCACACCCCTCCCGCGCAGCAACCACCTTCCGAATGTCCCAGGCCATCTCCAGCTGGCGCTGCAGCTTCCGCCAGGCGTCGGGCGCCTGCCGCCGCGACAGCTCCGCGGCCAAGTCAGCGTCGAGGTCGTCCTCGGCATCAAAGCTCATGTCCGACGCCTTCGCAGACAAGCGCAGACCACGGGCAGCACGCCTGCATGGCCGCCAAGCAGACGACGCCGGCAGAAGGCAGGCGTGGCGCACGTGCAGCGCCGCTATGCCGCGGCCGCTGCTGCTGCCGGTGGATGAGCGGGGCAATGCGGGGCATGGGTGGACCAGCGTGTCAGAACAAGAGCGGCACGCATCCACACAACATGGAATGATCCTAAGCCATGCAGCTGGTTTCTCGCACCTGACGCTAGGCGCCAGAATGGTCCGCGACCCCATGCTCGAACATCCCGCCACGGCCTGCATGATGTGGTGCTTGCGCGCTGATGAGACAGCCTAAAAGCTAAGATGGTGATCAAGAGCACAAGCGTAGACCGCTGCCAAGAGGTGATGTTGGCGCCTTTGTCGTGTGGGCTTGTAGGCATGTGCAAGGAGCGCTGACGATCAAGTTGCAAACCCGGTATTGCGAAAACTATAGCGCATGAAACTGGCTAGCGCCCGCATCTCGGTTCACTGCAGGCACCCCATGACTCGATGACCACGCAGGCACCCCCCCGGGATGAGCTGCATCACCAGTGGGCGAGCGGCGACATGACAGTTCGTGTCTCAAGCCCTGCCACGAAACAAAACAGCTCTGATCACGCCTGTCATGTACCACGATGCAGGTACCAAAGTGTTGCATGTGAGAAGTCGGTCACTCATTGAATGCACTGCCATGGCACCTGACCATCCATCACTGCCGTCTGGACGAAAGGCACACGGCGCACCTGACACTAGGGCACCTGCCAGGGCAATATCATGACGTGCAGAGCAGGGCGCCACAGGCCGCAGTCCTGGCAAAAAGAGCGTCAATAGGAGCTTCCCCATGCACTAGCCGCCTAGTCCTCCCTCGGCCCCTCGATCCTGCCGCGCAACGCAGTCAGGTGATGGAATGTCGCCTCGAACCCGGGCCCCAAGGGGCTGGCGCAGTAGAGCCCCGCCGCCACCGCGCACGTGCCGCCCCCAGCCGCCAACCCACTCGGGGCGGTGTCCTCGATCAGGTGCGCCATGCGCAGCTGCGTCCAGCCGTCGACGCCGTCAGCGGCGCCGCCCGCCTGGACGCCCGTGGTCGCGGCGGCGGCAGAGGCCGGCAGCGTGGCCTCAACCTGCGGCCCCAGGGCGCCAGGGCGTGCGGTTATCAAGATGAGTCGCGCTTCATCGTGTACAAAGGCAATACGCGAGCAAGCACCAGGGTGGCCAGGACTGCCACCCAGACGGCAGGTGTTCCACCCACGCGCACCAAGCCGCTGTGGGCTGGTGACGCCACCCACCAGATAGTCGCTGCCCTCCCGCCGCACCCTCAAAGAAACCTGGAAGGGTCAGCAGCAAGGACGCGCATGCGGGCCCTCGTGACATCAGCTCAGGCGGTGAGCGCACAAGCGCCCCGCGGACCCTCCCTTCGGCCAACCCCCCTACACGCGGCGTCATTTGCGGCGCTTGTTTCATTGAGAGCGCCCAGGGCCGGCGGCGGAGCGAACCCAGGACGGCGTTGCAGCGGCCGCTGGGGTGCTGCAGTGTTCAGTGGCGCACCTCGTCCACGCCCAGGGGGAAGTCCATTGTTGACCAGTCGCTCCAGCCGCTGTTGGTCACCACCACCCCCAGCTGGCTGGGGCGGTCGGGGTGGAACTCGACGCTGGTCTTCAGCCAGCAGGAGGGGCTCAGGCGCACCTTGGCTCGTTGGACGGGGGGGTGGATGGGTGGATGGGTGGATGGGTGGGTGGGGTGTGTGGTTTTGCAACTGCTTAATGGCTTACTTGCGTTCGAATGTGTCAAGGTGGGGTGTAAGAACGGGACCCCATCCATGCAGCGTCCCCGTGCCCGCTGCCCTCCAAGCGCGTGCACGCCTGTCATTGTGCGTGCCGTGGGGAACGACACGGGTGGCGCGGGTGAGCGCCGCGCGGCGCACCATGAGCCCGGCCTGGTCGAAGCGGCTGTTGGGACGTGGCGACACAGTGGTGGTCAGCACGAAATCCCCCTCGAATGTTGCATGGTAGAAGTGGCCTGGGCAAGCGTCGTTGTGTGCAGGTGCGCCCAAGCTTGCAGTCGTGCAGCTTGGTCATAAACTCATGCACAGCAGGGATGGACATGTAAATGCCGCAGGCGCATTAGCACGACCAGAGCGCGTTCACATCCTGCCCCTACGGTGATTTTCCCATCACCGTTGTCTGGCTTAAATCCATAGTGCGTTCTCTGCCAGTAATCAGTCTTGGGTGCTGAAGTGACCTTGATGCCGCCGCCGCCGCTGTCCACGTCGGTGCTCGGTGGGGGGCAGTACCATGACAACCGCCCTGACAGAGGTGCCATCAGCAAGTTGGCCGGCGAATCTGGCAGCTCCAGAGCTACAATTTCTGCCATCCTGCAGCAGCTGACTACGTGTCACAGCACACAAGATCGCGAGATCAGTTGCACCCGAGCACTCTACCATACGTCAAGACATGCGTTTGACTGGTCGCTCATTGTATCAGATTCCTAGTTTGAGTGCGGTGGCCAGTGCCACGGACTGACAGGCCGGCTTCAACTCGGAAGTCATCGTCATCAAGCCTGGCCAAACCGGTCGTCAAGACCTCGCCGCGGTTGTGGGTATCCCCCCCCCCCCCGCAGATCTTTGCAGCGTTGGTGCTCTGGTCACCCGAGCAATGACCCATGTGGAGCGCCGCATCGTCCAGCTCGCTCTGGAGGCGCACAAGTCAGGGACCGCAGCTTTGTGGGCATTGCGGGTGCTGGATCCAGGCATCTTTAAAGCCAGCGATGGGATTCCTGCAGCCCAACATTTGCCTGCACGTGGCCAGGCGCTGGCGGTCAGCAGCGCGTGGGGCCTCCTGCCCCCATTGCTGTGCCGCAACCACCAGCAGCAGCCGTGGCAGCAGCAGCACGGGGGCAGCGCGCGATGGAGCGGTGCGGCAGCATTTATAAGTGCAGAAGCAGGGCACATGCACGCCTGGCACGCGCTTGACGTGACAGCGCCCTGCCGCGCTTTGCACACGGGGCCGAGGAAGTTGTGGAGACAGCAGGCGCCCCTTGCCCTCGCGCCATGGCGGCGTGCTCTTCACAAACAGCAGGAGCGCCAGGAGGAGGGGCAGCAACAGCCGCAGCAGCAACAGCCAAAACAGGGAGGCGTGGAACCCTTGATCGCAGCGCGTCGGCACCACAAGCAGCAGCACAAGCAGCAGGCCAGGCACGCGTCAGGCGCCAGCCTCGCCTCCCTCCCAAACCTGATCTCGTTTTCGCGCGTGGTGGCAGCGCCCGTGATCTCGTATCAGATGGCCACTGGGCAGTGGGGTCCTGCGGTGGCACTGCTCACTGTCGCCGCGGTGAGTGCGCGCCATGCATGACGCTCGGCCAGCCTCACGCAGCTGCCCGCGCCCCCTCGCGTCAATGGAGGCTCTTGCTGACTCGTCGGTTGCGTCGCTGTGGCCAAACCGCAACAGCATGTGGCTGCTGCAGGAGCTCTCTCTTAAGACCCACCCACAGGCCACGGGCCGAGCATCTGAATGCGCCTGCACCATCCCTGGAACTACCACGCCGTTGCCCACCCGACCCTTGCGCATCCAAACGCGCCTGGCCCATCCCGCCACAGGCCTCTGACTGGGCGGACGGCGCCCTCGCGCGTCGCCTGGGCCACACGTCCAAGCTCGGCTCATACCTGGACCCCTTTGCGGATAAGGTGTGGCGGGGGGCAGCCGCTCCTTGGCCGCACTTAGTAGGACCGCAGGTGCAGCCCCCTCCCCCCCACCCTTGCAGAAGAGTTGGCTGCCCTTCAACGCTCACTCAAGGACCGGGAACATGCACACGGCGCGGGTTTCAACCCGCCAGAGTCTGCAACGCACCCTGTTGAAGGTTTCCGCTGGCCGGCTGGTCATCCTCCGCACGCCTGCCCATCCACGCCCACCCCCCCAGGTGCTGGTGATGACGGTGGTCGCGACGCTGGGGGCGCTGCAGCTGCTGCCCGCGTGGTTGGCGGTGCTGGTGGTGGCCCGCGACAGCAGTCAGATTGTCGTGACAGTGGGGTACCGTTTCGCTATGTTTGGGGGCCGGTGGCCGGGCTACGCTGCGTTCTTTGAGATCGACGACAGCGCTGGGGCTACAAAGGGCGCTGGTGGCGGCGGCGGAAGCGACAACGGCGCCGCGAACACAGACGTCGAGGCGCCGGCGGATGCGGAGGGTGGGGCCAAGGGGCAGCCGCAGCAGCGGGGAGACTTGCAGCAGCGGGACGCGCATCAGCAGCAGCATGATGCGCCAGGGCACCAGCCGCAAGCAGAGATGCCCCGCATGCGGCCGCTGCTGGTCAGCAAGGTCAACACGGCGCTCGGGTTTGGCCTCATCGGCGGCGTCGTGTTGCACCAGTGGCAGGGGGTGCCGCCGGCTGAAGTGCTGCGCGGGCTCGAGCTGGCGGTGGGTGCCACCACGCTGGCCTCGGGACTGGCCTACTTCTGGCTGCACCGCCGCGGGCGCCTGCTGCAGTGACGCCACTGCATCGGGCACGCGCAGGCCTCTGCCCTGGCCGCTCCACAGCTTGCTTTCACCACGGGTTGTAACTAACCAAAGGAAAGCGACCCCAGAGTGCCTGTTTTACAGCAGAGATTAAGAGGTGACTGCCACTGCTTGGTAGTAGCCAGTGGGAAGCAGCTGGGTCGAGGATGACATCAGCTGTTGTGTAACCAAAGAGAGCAGGCGCAATGCTCCAGGGGACTGGCAGCGTGACAGCCACACACACACCAGGCAGACGGGCCAAAACACAGGGAGCAGGTTCAGATGCTGAGCCAGCGCTGCAACAGAAGCCAGCCCTCATGCTTCAAAGGACGCTTGGTCCGCGCGTATGCCGGAGCCCCGCCTGCCCACGCGCGTCAACGCGAGCTGTGCCAAGCGCGCGCGGTGTGCAAGGCGGGGATGCGGGCGTAAGGCTGCTTGCGTCCAGGCGGCTATGCCGCCCGTGGTAGAACCAATGGCCTGCGGCCATCGGATCCACGGTCATCCTGGTTTGACCTCAGAGTGCGCCGCACCTGCATCTTGCCCCAGCACGCGCTTTGCATAGCGGCAACCCTCGCGGCCGACCGCTTCACACGCGCCCATCCACGGCCGGGGCCGTCCAAGCATCAACTTTCGTGGCCACACTAACGCGCCTCCTGCATGGCTGGGAGCTGCTGTGTGCCTGAGGCAGCGCGGAGGCAGGGGCTCCGGTGATCTGCATGCCCGCTTGCGCAGATGCTGAGACGCCATCGGGGCCCTGCGGCTCAGCGCGTAGCCCAGGGGTGGCAGCAGGGCAGCGACCCACGCACGGGAGGTGGCCCAGGCTGCTGGTCGCAGCGACTTGGCTGCACATGCGTGCTCACGGAACAACGCAGGGGCCCCGCCTCGCGGCTGCCGCCCCCGCGGCCGCGGGCTGCGCATCCCGCCGCGCGGGCACGTTGCGGGCGCCACACGCGCGCCGCGGCCCGTGTGCGCGCCCGGCCTCCGAGCCCGAGCTCCGCCGCGCACGCCATTGGACATGAACACGCGGCGCGCCGTTTCTTCGTTGCTCCGCCCGCCGCCGCCATCACCGCGGGCGCCCCTGGCCGCCGCCGACGCCCAGGTTCCCGCCAAACGCGGCGCCGGCCGGCGCCTGGCTCAGGAAGCCGCCCGCGCCGCCGTCCGCCTGGGTCGCGCCGGCCCCAAAGTCCTGCGTGCCGAACCCGCCGCCGAGGCCACCCAGAAGGAAGGACGCCCCCTGCGCGCCGCCGATGCTGCCGCCCATGTCCAGCTGGGTCTGCAGCCCCAGTGCCAGCTGGCTCGACCCCACCGCCAGCCCCGCGCCGCCGCCGCCGGCGCCGCCGCCGCTGCCCCCGCCGCGGCGCTGCTTGCCGCCGTCCCCGATGACGCCCGGGGAGGGGATGGCGTATGACGGGCCCACGAAAGGGCTGAACCCCGGCCGCGCCACGGGGTCGCCCACGCCCAGCCCAGCAGCCGCCGCCGCCCCCGCGCCGTTGGCGGCCGCACCGCCGCCGCCGTCGTGCCCGCCACCGCCACCGCCGCCGGGCGCGTGCGCGTGGGCGCCAGGCAGCGGGTCGCCGACACGCTCTGTTGGGTGGAAGCGGCCGACGGCGCCGAGGCCGCCGAGGCCGGGCGCCGAGTCGATGCCGAAGGCGGCGCGGTCGAAGCGGCGCTTGGGCTGGGGCAGCTGCGCGAGGCTGGGCTTCAGGTTGGTGAGGGGGCCCTCCACCAGCAGCTCCTGGGTAGGGGGTGGGCAATTACTCACAGGGTTAGGGGGGGAACGAATTACAGGGGACGTATACGAGGGGCGGGCGGCAAGGCAGCGACGAGGCAGGGGCGCAGGGCAGGGCACCCAGGCTGTGACTGCAGCAACGCCCTTTGCACATGGCCAGCTGCCAGACTCCGATTACTAGCGTAACTGTGCATGGGATGCGCGCATGCGCGACCCACCTGCTCCTTGAAGTGCGCCAGCAGCGCGCCCCACAGCGGCGACCGCGCCAGCACGCGCGGGTTGCCAAGCAGCACTAGCCCGTAGCGCGCGCGCGTCAGCGCCACGTTGAGGCGGCGGGGGTCCCCCAGGAACCCGATGCCGCCCGCCTCGTTGGAGCGCACGCATGAGACCACGATGTAGTCCTTCTCGCGGCCCTGGTTGGGTGAAGGGGGCGACAGGTGCAGTGTGGATGTGTGTGTGCGTGTGTGCGTGTGTGTGTTTGTGTGAGGGAGGGAGAGGGGGAGAGAGAGTATGTGTGTTGGTGTTGTGTGTGTTGTGCATATGTGTGTTGTGTGTTGTGCATGTTTTGTGTGTGTTGAGTGGAATGTGGGACGACAGGTACCTGTGATCAGGGCGCAAGAGGCCCTGGACGGCGCCTGCCGACCATGCCGCATTCTGGTGATTAGTGTGAAGGCGGCCGCAGGCCAGAGACACGCCGCGACTGACCGCCAGTTGCGGCCGCATGGAGGCCACATGCCCGGCCTGTACGCACAATCCATCACCCTTGACCGCCCATGCGCATGCGCCCTCGCGCGCGCGTGCACACACACACACACACACACACACACACACACACACACACACACAAACACACACACACACACACGCAAACACATACACACGCACACACACGAACACACACACGCACACACACACACATGCACACGGCAAAAAAACACGCGCACTGCCCCCGCCCCACCTGGAACGCGTCCACGCTGGAGACCTCTATGGCGCGGTACAGGTCCTGCCGCAGCGGCCCCTGGCGCAGCAGCGTGCTGGTGACGTGGGCGCGCTGCCCCTCGTACGGCGTGATGACACCCAGCTGGTGCGGGTTGACGCCGCACTGTTGGTGGGGGGGGGGGTGAGGGTGGGGGTGTGGGAAGGGAGGCTCAGCGTGGGGCGCGGGCCCGTGGGGGAGGGGGCCGTCTGGCGATGGTGGGTGCTGCATGATAGAGAGCTAGTGAAGGATGGGGGAGCTCTGAGACAAGAGTACTGGGACAAGGGGCGTTCAAGCCAGCCGCAGGAACAGCGGAGGATCCGGGCCGCCGCCAGATCAGCGGGCCGCAAGCTCATGGGGCTGCAGAGTAGGGCCAGGGCCATGCGGGGCCAGGGCGGGCGCAGCTGAAGGGGGGGGTGTATGGGAGCGCCGGGCCGTCCAGCCCTTGGGCCGTTTGGGAGGCGCGCGCACAGGGGTACCTGCAGGAAGCGCGTGAGCAGCTTCTCCACGTTGGTGGCCTCAGTGCGGTTGAGGTACGACGTGCCCGGGGGGCGGCGGGTGGGGGG